CGACACCCACGAGCACAGGGTCCCCCAGCCGCCGGCATGAGCTCAGGAGCGGGACCTCCCAGAGCCTCCAGACAGAGCCCAGCCTGGCGGGCACCTTGGTTTTGTTCTTTTGAAACCTGGAGCCAAGACAACCTAGATGACTTCTGCACAAACGAGCTGGGAGGTAACAAGTGTGTGTGGCCTCAAGCCGCTAAGCGTGCGGTGAGTTGTTTCGGCAGCGATAGAGAACGACGAATTCAGGAGCTCGACGGGGTGACGGGACAGAGAGGGACTGGGCACTATGCTAACCCGGGGCCTCTTTCAGGAAGGGACACATGACCTGAGATCTGAACAAGGAGGAAGCAGAGGAGGGTGAGGAGCTCGTGCCCATTTCCCGGTGTCAGCCCTGAAGTCCGGCATCCCAAAGACCCTGCAGCCCACAGGGGCAAACCGGACGGTTGGTCACCACCAGGCAGAGGGAACCGGCTGGGCAGAGGTGCGGAGGTGGGGGCTTTCAGGTGAGCCACCGCAGAGAGCATCCCGAGGGACGTTCTGCCCGATCCAGGAGCAGGTGATGGGGGCTGCCAGGGACAAGCTCAGAAAACCCTTTCGAATGGGGACGGAGTGATTCTAGCCAAGGACAGGTGAGAACTCCCAGGGCTCCTTCCATCGGCTCCTTCCGTCCTCCCGCTGTGCCGGGTAAGAATCACCACCACCTGCCCGGCCTGTCCTGGGGCTACTTCCCTCGCCCCTCACCTGCCTCTTCCCCAGCTGGCCCCTGCCGGTGCCCAGGTGTCTCCACGTGCCAGGGTGCCACGGGCCTGCTGCCGCTCCCCCCCCCCAGCGGGACGCTGGCGCACTGCCAAGCGGCACACAGCAGGGGGAATTTTCAAGACGTCTTTAATTAGTGAGACAATAGGAGGCTGGAAGCAGAGAAGACAAAGGTTGTGGACAGCTTCACAGCCTGTCAAGACGGGGCTGTGAGCCCGAACAATGCCAGAGAGAGGAAGCAAAAAGCAGAGACGGGCAGGCAACGGCACCGCCGCCCTTCCCTGTGTCCCCACCCCGTGGCTGCTGATACCTTTACACGAACACACCCCTTCCCAGTACAGCTTGTCACTGCAGTTGTCTGGAGTCAGGCGAGAAGCGGCGTGGAGCACACAAGCGCGGGGGCAGAGCTGCGCAGCGGGAAGAGCAGAGAGGGACCTCAGTTGAAATTTTGGCTCCTTGTCTCATTACCCGTGTGACGCCTGGCAAGTTAATCGCTCCGGGTCTCAGCCTTCCGTACAATTAGAGTAGTGATAGCTCCTTTGCAGGGTGGTGGCTGCAAAGACGAGGGATGTCAAAAGTGCCCCACAGGGAGTGGGTACCGGATAGATGGCAGCTATTTCTACTCTGAGCACCGCACCTCCCTCCTGGACGCCAGCCCCCCGATGCAGCATTTCTCAAACTCCGAGCGTGCCCAAGAATCACCACGGCTCTCCCCTCAGCCCTGCCGCTGCAGGTCTGGGGAGGGGCCCGGAAACCTGCAGATGGAACTGGCTCCCAAGCAGGTGATTCTAATTAGGCAGCTGGCGCTGCTCTTACTGTCCCTGGCCGGTGTCTGCCTCCTGCAGGAACAATAGCGCTGGCCCAGGGCAGTCCTGCACCTGTGTCCATTTCAGAAGCCACCTCCCCAGACAGGGTTGGCTAGGAGGTGGTGTCTCTCCTTTAGGCAGCTTCCCTCTGAGCAAGGGACAACCTGTAGCCTGTAATCCTAGCACTCTGGGAGGCCGAGGGGCGGATCACTCAAGGTCAGGAGTTCAAAACCAGCCTGAGCAAAAGTGAGACCCTGTCTCTACTAAAAATAGAAAGAAATTAATTGGCCAACTAAAAATATATAGAAAAAATTAGCCGGGCATGGTGGCACATGCCTGTAGTCCCAGCTACTCAGGAGGCTGAGGCAGGAGGATTGCTTGAGCCCAGGAGTTTGAGGTGGTTGTGAGCTAGGCTGATGCCACAGCACTCTAGCCTGGGCAACACAGTGAGACTCTGTCCTAAAAAAAAAAAAAAAAAAGGGACAACCTGTGATGCTTTTATTCTCATTTGTCAATGAGAATATAAGATACAGAGGTTAATAATCCGTTCAGGACCACACAGCCAGAGCTGGGATTTGAACCTCGGCAGTCTGGCGCCAAAGCCTGCGTGCGTAACCACTGAACAACACGATCCCTCAAGCCGTACTCATAAGCTCGTGACACACTGCCAAACCAAAGTCAGTGGGGACAGTAGAAAGAGGACTGGATTAAGAATCAGAAGTCCTAACTGCCTGGGAAGGGGCACGAGGGGCCTTCTGGGTGCTGGAATGTTCTATCTCTGCATCCGCATGGTGGTGACATGGGCGTGTACACATGTAAAATTCATCAAGCTGTTCGCTTAAGATTTATGGATTTATACACTTTACCGTAGATAAGTTAAATCTAAATGAGAAACATGAGAATTTTTTGGTGGAAATAGTCACACTGTGAAAACTGGCACACACCGCGTATCAGGGCTTCCCCAACCTCACTCCACCGGCCCTCACAGCCGTTACCCCAAAGCGCTCCTCTCCGGGGGGGGCCCAGGAGGTTTTCGGGGGCTGCAGGGCTCCCTACCGGCAGCCGTGGAGCTGAGGTCTGAGCACCGTGACTCTGAAACCTTAATGTGTGGAGAATATATTCTGCATCTCAAGCCCCTGTGGACATCCCCAGCTCCGCGAGCCCTTGGCCGCAGGTGCCGCCAGGTGGGAGTGTGGTGCGGGGTTTTGTGGCCGGGCCCAGCAAGCTCTCTGATGGTGGAGCGGACCAGCCCCAGCAAGAGGCCGGAAAGTCTTTGTCGCTTCCCTACTCCTTCAGTTTGCGGTCTGCATTTGGTGGTGGGAGGTTCCCTCTTTTTCTTGTTCCCTTTCTCTTTTTTTTTTTTTTTTTTTTTTTGAGACAGAGTCTCGCTTTGTTGCCCAGGCTAGAGTGAGTGCTGTGGCGTCAGCCTAGCTCACAGCAACCTCCAACTCCTGGGCTCAAGCGATCCTCCTGCCTCAGCCTCCCGAGTAGCTGGGACTACAGGCATGCACCACCATGCCTGGCTAATTTTTTCTATATATATTTTAGTTGTACAATTAATTTCTTTCTATTTATAGTAGAGATGGGGTCTCGGCTCTTGCTCAGGCTGGTTTTGAACTCCTGACCTTGAGCAATCCACCTGCCTCGGCCTCCCAGAGTGCTAGGATTACAGGCGTGAGCCACCGCCCCCGGCCGCTCCCTTGATCTTTCTCTCCATATGTTCACTCAAGCCTCAGCCCCAGACCTGCTCTCTGCCAGGCACCGGCATGGATACAAGACGAACAAGACCCAGCCCTCCACCTGTGGACAGAGGGACACTCACAGACAGGACTGTAGCCCCAGGGGCTGCTGATGAGAAAGAGGCGTCACAGGGCGGGGTGACGGCACTCAGGACAGCACAGCGGCCCTAGTGGCTCCAGGCTCCTTCGGCCTCCCCTTCCTGTTTGCTCTGCAGCTCCCTCCTGCCTCTGGCTCTCTGTATCCACACGCAACAAATATCTCATAACTGGTAGGGACGGCATGACGTTATCATTAAAAAATTAGAAAATGTGGAGAAAATCTAAACAGTCCCCTTTCCACCTAACTATGGCTAACATTTTGGTGCGTGTCTTTTCAGGCTTTTGCCTTTGGCAGTAAATAGTCTTACTATGCGTGTCTCTCCCTGGGCTTTAAAAATTCTTATTTTTCTGCCTTGTTTAAGTAAAGTGTATCTCCTTCGAATTGTTTTTGAAAAAAGGGTAAATTTCTTGCAAATTCACATGTTTGAAAATCTTTATTTGGCCTCCATATTTAATTGATAGTTTGGCTTGGAAATCTAATATCAGATTGAAAATAACTTCCGCTCCTACGTGTGAAGGCACTGTTCTGAGACAGACTTGCTTCCAGGTTGCCGCTGAGGAGTCTACTGCTATCCTAAAGCCTGTCCTTAGGATGTTATTCTTTCTGGACACCTGTAGCATCTTCACTTTGTCCCTGACATTCTGAAATTTCAAAATGTCATGTCTTTGTGAGGGTCTTTTTTCGTTCACTGTGCTGGGCACCTAGTGGACCCTTGTAATCTGGAAAGTAATCCTCTTCATTTAAGGGAGCAGAACGTATTTTAAAATTGCTAAGGGCTCGTTCTTGTTCTCTGCATCTTCCTTTAAAAACAAAAATCAGCATGACCATCAACTGACAAATGGATTGTAAGAATACAGTATATCCATGCAATGCAATAAATCCCAGCCACAGAAAGGAACGAGGTAGTGACACATGTTACCACATGGACGAACCCTGAGATCACGCTAAGCAAAAGAAGCCAGACACAAAGGCCACAGATTGCAGGATTCCATCTCTGTGAAATATCCGGAATAAGCAAATCCATAGAGACAAAAGTAGATTAGTGGTTGCCAGGGGCTGGCGGGGAGGGAAGAACGAGGAGTGACTATTTATGGGTATGAGGTTTCTTTTGGGGATAATGTGGAAGTTCTTGAATTAGATAGTGGTGACGGTTGCACAACCTTGTGAATATACTAAAAACCGCCAAACTGTACACTTTGAAAGGGTGAATTTTAAGATATGTGAATTATATCTCGATTTTTTAAAAAAGGCACCATGTTCTTGTGTTGTGGGTATAATGTCCTCTCTTACCTCTCTGAGGACATCAATCGTAGGTGTGGCAGTGGTGGCTTTTACGTTTTCTTTTGCTCCCTGCCTAGTATTTGCTTTCTTCAGGTTTTTGTTTACTTTGGTTTGCTTTGGCTTTTTCATATTAGGCATTTTCCTTAAAAATTGAGTAATCCTCAGCCAAGGGCTCACATTTATGAGTGAGGCATTTAAAAGCTGATTGGAAGTCGTGTGCATGGACAGAGCTTATTAACTAGCGGGGGTACGGGGTAGGAGGGTGTCCCAAACGCCCCCATTTCTCTAACTACCAAGCTAGAGCCAAGTGGAGGAAATGGGCAAAGGGCTTCCCCATTTGGCTTGGAAACTTTGAGCAAATGCCCGTATTTCAACACAGACTGCCTCATCTCCACCCATACTGACACCCATGGCCCAAGTCAGCACTTTCTGGGTTCAGTCTCTCTGGAAAGTAAAGTTCTCTCCAGGATGCTGCTGGGGTAAAAGCAGGGACGGGCGTGGGGTGCAATGGGGTGAGGGGTGATCCGGGGTATCACCCTGCTGTGCTGGGCCCTACCCCACACCCTACCTTCAGATGCCACCAACTTCCGGGCCTTTCTGTGGATCTGCGGCAGGAATCTGCCCGTTTCTCACTGGCTCCCCTCTCCATGGGGGGAGGGTGTCTAGGTTTTTCTTTCCTTATCCAGCCAAGTCAGCGTCTCAGCTTCCCAAATCGCACTGACATCACGCATTCTCCTTCACCCCGTGGGTTTGCTGCCCTTTTTGCTCCTTCACTCTGTCGCAGGGTGGCTGGGGGAGGTGGCCCAGAGCAACACGATGTGCTTGGCCCGCCGTTTTAACCGGAAGTCCCCCCCCCTCGATGTTTGGACAGTGGCAGACACGGAGTCCTCAGATTTACCATGAGGCGGGTTCTGCCATCATGGCCGACCCCAATATGACACGAACTCGTGCCTATAAGGACAACCTGCAGGTGCCGGGGGCGGAGCAGGGAGCCCTCCCGGCGAGCTGGGTGCGGGATGACTGCGCCTCGCTGGCCATCCTCGCTACATTCCTCAGTCACACTCTCCTGCGCTTTATGGGGGAAATTATGTGGCAGTCTCTAATCCGTGGATCCGTGAGGGCTGTGATGTATCCCTGGAGAATGTCGAGGGCCTACTGTACCTCGGTCACTATGGAAACTAGTTCTCGGGTGGCAACCGGGCTTAGCAGTCCCCACGACGGTGCAGTGCCCATGGATTCTCGCTCTGGGAATGGGCAGGGCGCAGGCCCTGGAGACAGGGCCACACCTACCCCGGGGACCTGCCATACCCTTCAGGATGTCTCCAGGGTCTCCTCCCAGCCTGGGCACCCTGCAGCAGCCTGGCCTGGAGTGCTTCAGCTCAGAGGAGGAGGAGAGGGGGAGCCTGTCCGGCCCGGGAAGATCTGGAATCACGCAAGTGCTCCTGGAACCGCTTCCAGACCCAGCCTCCCAGGGAGTCTGCCTCACGGTCAGAGCTCTCAAGGCGGTCACCAGCTCATAATCGACTTTCAGGGGGTAGGTTTGAGTGTGATGGGTGGTTCAAAAGTCAATTGCCTTTGGCTTTGAAACGCACACGGTAGGATTCCCCGGCCCCTTGCATGTTCAGTATGCAAATGACTTAATATGTGTCAAGTGCCTAGAACAGCCTGGCTTGTGGTGAGTGCCTTATAAGTGTTTGCTATTATTATTATTACTTTAGCTTAGGCCCCTATGAAAACAAATTTGCATTCCTAGCCTCTCTGCAACTCACTTAACTCAACAAAGAAAATGGGTGCGATACAGGCCAGGGACTGAGAACTCTGGGGTCTCTGGCCCCTCTTTGCAGGCAGTAAGCCACCACCCACACCTATCTTGTTTCGTCGCATGCACTGGATGGGTGAACCCACTCCCTGCCAGCCCCACTCCCTGACACTTGACCAAGAACCAATGAGTTGATGCCTATAAAGGCATTTGCGAGCTCCCTTCCCAGGGACTCCTCAAGGCTGCCCCTCCCTGGCCCAGGGAGTGATGGCTCTTCGCTCCCTGCTCTGTCCCTACTGCTCCAGTGCCCTGGGCTTATGCGCAGGGCTCCTGCTTCTCCTCCCCAGGTGAGTACGCTGAGCACCCACCTCCCTTCCACAGGTGCGCCTCCCTCTCTCCCTGCCCTCTCTAGTGGGCGTCACCATCATCTCGCTTTCTCTCTTTTCCACCCCTGAGCTGGGAGTTCCTAAAGGACAGGTCTTCTAGTCTGAACACCTAGCATGGGGCCTGGCACACAGTAGGCGTTCAAAAAATATATATATTTTTCCTCTTTGGAATGGCAGAGTCCTCTGTCTATATTGCCTTGCTTCCCGATACCTGCCTTGTGTCCTCTGCTCCCCCTTTCTTCCCCACTCTTCTCTCTCTTCCTCTCAAAGCCCCCGGGCCGCCCTGCCTGGCTGTGTCGGAAGGAGACGGTGTTTCCCGTCACCGGGAAAGCCCTCCTGACCTCAGCTGCAGGGAGAGGCCTCACTAAGCTGCGCGGCTCAGCGTGTCAGGACTGATACCTACTGATGAGGAGCGGGCTTGTTCTGTGCAATTTCCATCTCATTTGTCTTTTCATTTGTAGCTTAAATTGGCCAATTTCATCTGGAATGTGCCTGGGCTCTCTGGCAATCCATACACAGCAAATGAGTGTCCCCAGAAGCCGTCTGTGGTGGGACTGGCAGGGAGCCGGCCCAGGTCCCCCGCGGCTGCGCTAGCAGTGGCTCTCGAGCCCCTGGGGGCGCCAAGGCTCGGCCCCCGTGGGCCTGGACGGGGCCACGGGCAGTGAGAAGGAGTTAGGGGAGGCCCCGGAAAAATCTGATTTCTTTCCCTGTCGCTCTCTGTCCCTCCGTCTATCAGGAGAGGGTAAAGTGCATGGAACGGAAGGGGCGTTGTTTGCACTTCTAAGAGTGGGCAGCACAGGCACGATGCTGAGTGAAAGAAGTCAAACGATCCTTCCACGTGAGATGCAAAACCAGGCCAACCAGTCTATGCTGCTAGAAGTCCGAGTGTGAGGGACCCTTCTCGGGGGCTGGAAATGTTCTAGACGTCCTGTATCTTGACTTCGGGGGTGGTAATATGGGTGGGTGTTGTACGTCCCCAGGTTGCTCGAATGATTTGTTCGCCTCACTGTATGAGTTCTGCCTCAGTGAAAACGGTGGTGATGGTGGGGTGTCACACCAATGCTTTTCAAACTTCACTGTGCGTAGAAATCTTGTGGACATGTATCTAAAATGCAGATTTCTGGACACCCCGGAATCTATGCAGTCGGTCTGGAGTGGGGTCTGGGAATCTTCATGCCCCATGCCTCCAAGGGTGACTTTGAGACAGGTGGTCTGCAGACAAGACAATCCCACACAGGGCTTGGATATCTGCCCCGCTGACTGGCCTAAGTGCCATCCTGCCGAGAGCCGTGAGGGGCAGCAGGTGGGGAAGGGTCCCAGGTGCCCTCGGCAGGGAGGGTTGGAGGTCGGGCATGCTGCAGCGTGGAGAACATGCTGGCTTGCAGGCATGGGAGCTCGGGGTAGGCAGTGGGGGCCTCTCCCTGGGCTAAGCAGGATCAGGACAGGGAGGAGGTCCTTTAATCAGGGCTGATGAGCATTTGTCCCCTGGGCAGCCTGCCTCAGGATGGCTGGGCAGACGTCACCGGGTGGCCCGATGCTCCGGAGGTACAGCCGCTGGGCAAAGCTGGTCCCCAGCAGAGGCGGAGTCTCACAGAATGGCCTGGTGACGCTGCTGCGGGGTCTGGACACCAGATTGAGCAGTCATGCATTCCTCAGCAAGCACCTTCTGTGCTGGGAAGAAGGAACCCAAGACTGAAGATACAAGGCTAAAGACAGGACCTCGGGGAGGATACAGACAAGGTGGCATTTCCATAGATAAATGCCAGGACAGGTTGAGCATCTAAAACGTAGGCTAATGATGTCAGGAGCCAACCTTGACTTGGAGGCCCAGGAGGGCTAAGATATAGGGAGTGGGAGGGAACCAGGTGTAGGGGCCTCTACCATGTGCCAGACCCTTCACAGACACCATCCCTCTAACCTGCTGACAATTCCCTGGCATGGTTTACTTATGTCCACTTTGCAGATGATGAAACCAAGACTAAGAGAAGCTCACCAGCTTGCCCAAAGCCGCAGGCTCACGCACAGCTGGAGTCTGAACTCAGGTCCCTGTGACTCGGCCCTGAGATCTCTCCGTGCTCCCTGCTGCCTCTCCCTCTCAGCCTCCAACAGAGCGGGGGCATTCAGGAGTCTGCTCAATGCTTTTTCACATCATCACACTTGGTTTTTGCAAACCTGCCGTGCGAGCAGGTATAAGTCCTGCAGGTGGAAACTTGCTCTTGTCGCCAAAGCACGAAGGAAGCATCCACTGATGCTGGGAGGGCGGCAGTGGCCCTGGGAGCCTTGGTGGCTCCTCTGGCAAAGAGCATCGGAGTGTCAGCAAGGGCACAGGGAGGGACGGGGCCGTGTCGGAGTGGATCACGGCCCTGACGCTACCCATAAGGAACTTCCCCAGGACTTCTGCCTGGTTCACCTGCCAGCAGGGAGTCAACTCACAACATGTGAGGATCACACTGGGCAGGAAGCTGTGCTCTGGGGTGACCTGGTGGCATCGGGGCCCACTTAATGTGCCGAGTCTTCAAACAATGGCAGCCAGCTGGGCCCTCCCATCTGCACGTGGGTACACATGGGGACCATGGGCTTGGTGGCTTTGACATTTTGAGCCCATCCTGGTTTCTCCCCGCCGCCGCCCACTCTCTTCTGGGGACTGTAACCTGCGCTCTCCAAGTCAGACCTAACTAGACCAGCAAATCGGTGGCACTCGAGCCATCGCGGCACACCGCAAGCGCGAGGGGGGATGCCGTGTGGACTACCCTGGGAGCTGCTTGCTGCGTCTGCCTGTGTTTCCTGGGCTTACCCGTTCTCCGCTCCTGCCTTCCATCACCTCTCTAATGGAGAGGCGGGACACAGTCCCCACAGGCCGGCATTCATCTTCCCCGCCTGACCCTCCCGGAGGCTATTAAGCTGCTGTTGCAAGATTGAGGAGGGGAGAGAAATGAAAAGAGCACACAGGGAGCAATGCAGGGCAGAGGGGACTCTTTTGGAACCGGATCCATTGGTAAGTCAAGCCAGGGAGAGACGGCCTCGAGCTCGGGAGAGTGGAGAGCTCCCCCCCAGACAACAAGGCCTGGGGACAGGCTGCCACGCTAGGCTGTCCCCAGGAAAGGCCAGGCTTGGGGGACAGGGGGAGTGGTCTCTGCAAAAGGCTGGGCAGCCCAGGACCCAGGAAATGAGGCAAAGGTTACTGAGGTCACTGCTGCCCCTGTCTCAATTAAAAAGTTCGAAATCCTCTCTGCCCAGCCCATTACTCTCCTCCCAAAGCCCTGCAGAAGAAAATGTGAACGCCGACAGCCTGGCCCATTATATATTCATGATTCCGGCTCCATCCGATTCTCTCTGCTGCAATCCTTTTAGTCCTCTGGCCGAGGCCCCGGCACAGCCCTTTTTCTGGATCTGCTCCTCACTGTGCTCCCTCTGCACACTGTGCTCCCTCTGCACCCTGTCCTCTGAGCGGTCACCTCACCGGACCTCCTGCGGCTGGTGGACATGGGCGGAGTGAGCCCCTTGCCCTGCAAGGCGTCCCCACGCCCGGCCCGGCCTGCCCCTTCCCTCCAACTCAAGGGAACAGGTCTCTTCCTTTGAAAAGGCAACCTCCTCCCTTCCTATCTCCAAAGGAAGCACAGGCCTGGACTGACCTCTCTCCACCTCTAAGAGCAACAATAAAAATGCCCCTTGGGTCTGTTACTCCTTCCAGGCACAAGACCCTTCTTGCTTGCGCCCCTGCGAGTTGATTCTCAATCTCACGGCTCTCCCCAATGCAACAGCACTTTCTCAGCTCTCAGCCTCCGGGAGCTCTTGACGGGATCACCCCACCCTGGATCTCTCTCGTATCTTCCTCCCGTGCCTGCCTTGTGCCCGCCCTGCCCCTGGGTCGGCCCTCCGCCCTCCGGCAGGCTCACCCTCCCCTGCCCTTCACCGCCTCTCTTTACCACCTCATCTTCTCTCTTCTTGCCCTCTCAGCGCCAGCCCGGGGACCGTGTCCCGCTGCCAGTGAGAGCGCTCAGAACACGCGTCCCCAATCAGACACGCCAGGCTCTCTGCCCCTACACCGGCCCACTTCCTCACAGGGCCACTCTGCCCCACCGTCCACTCTCGGGGGTCTCACTATGTTGCCCAGGCTGGCCCCAAACTCCTGGGCTCCCGTGATCCTCCCACCTCAGCTTCCCAGAGTGCTGGGATTACAGGCATGAGCCACCGCGCCCGACCAGTCTCTTTCCATTGCATTTGAGAACTTCACACTGGGTCCACATCTGCTTTCCCACTGCATGTCCTCCCTGAGTCCACGTGGTGTCACCGAGAAGCGTGTGCTAGGCCTGGTCTTCAACACCCGACAGCAGTACCCCCCCTCCAGTTACTGCAGTCAATGTGGTCTCGCTCTTCCAGGAACTACTGCTGGCTTTGGGGCCTGTGCAATTTAGTTTGGCATTTAATTATGTTTAATTGCTCTGACGCCATTAACAGTTCCTTGAGGGCAGGGCCCATGGTCTTACCCTTTTATCTGTCCCTCCTACCTGTGGCCCTTGGTAAGGCCTTGACTGGCCAAAGCCATGGGTTCCCTTAGAAGGCGCAAGACAGGTTTCCAAACACGCCCTGTGAACGTTCCACCCTGGAGACCCCACCTGTCTCCAGTGTGTCCCTGGAGCTGGGGCTGGCTCTCTCGACACCTCACCTCTCCAGAGAGGGACAGAGTGAGGCGCTCGAGCAGCGCCTCACTCGAGCGGCGCCGTGCCCAGGACCGACCTGCGGTTCCTTTCCAATCACTTAATCGCAGTTGGCTCCTCACACCTGAGGTTGAGGACTTCCAACAGCTCCACAAATCCTCCTTAATTAAACCCGAGGCCCCCCGCCGAGTGGAAGGGAAGATCCCGCCTCTTCCAGGAGCAAAAGCACCTCGGCAGACTTTGCAGCTTAGGGTAGGGGCCGTCAGGACCAAACCCAAGGTTTCTGCAGCCTGCACCAGCGCAGCCGGGCGCCAGCCAGGAGGGCGGAGGTGCCAGGAGGAGCAGGGGTTGGAAGGGTTGCTTTGCCTTTTGATGAAATGAGCAACCTGCAAATTAGATGCAAAACACCATGAAAAGATGGCATATATTAATTTAGAACCAAAAGCTCTGGGCATTTTAAGCAATAAAATGCCAGCCCCGTATGCGATCATATTTACTGCCCCAATTTTCTTTTCCTGATATTCTAAGTAAAACAGAAAGTGTAAGCTATTGAGAGGGACATATTCCTCTCCCGTGAACGTCTAGGCATGGGAATAAGTTGGTCGTGACTGCTGGCTGTGTAAATATAAATGCCACGTCCTCAGTGGCAAACATGCACCGTGTACCTACTGTGCGCAAAACGCCATGCGGGGTGCCAAGAAAAAAGCATCAGATGCCCTCGTGCAGCTGAGTGCGGCACGACGAACACCCGCGAGGTGCTTACTACGCAGCGCCGGGTGACCCTGGGCGAGGTAGTTTCACGCTTGTACAACGAGGTGAAGCAGAAGTCCTGCAGGAGGTGAGCGGTGACACAAGCTGTGGCCCGCGCCCATTGTGGACCACTGCACAGAGACTACGGGAACAAACTGTCGCTACAGGCATCAACTTGGATGATCCTGGAGGAAATGACGCTGAATGGAAAAAAAACCAACTGCAGAAGATCGCAAACTCTATGATCCCATTTATATAACATTTGTGAAATGACATAATCACAGAGATGAGGAACGGATGAGTGGTTGCCAGGGGTGAGGGATGGGGGCGTGTGGCTGCACAAGGGAGTGCTGTGACGGTACAGGTAAGTCCCCCCATGTGGTGGGAGCCACACAACACCACACACACGCACACAGATGAGCACATGTATGAGCGGTGAGATCTGGGTAACTCCAGGGCTCATACCAACGCCAGCTTCCTGGTTTTGCCATGGCACTGTAGTCACGCAGGACGTTAACACGGGGGAAACTGGGTGACAGGTACTCTAGACTTCCCTGTATATTTTTTTGCATCTCCAGTGAATCTATACTTAAAAAAAAAAAAAAAAAAAAAAAAAAAAAAGGTGGCTCACGCCTGTAATCCCAGCACTCTGGGAGGCCAAGGCGGGAGGATCACTCAAGGTCAGGAGTTCGAAACCAGCCTGAGCAAGAGTGAGACCCCGTCTCTACTATAAATAGAAAGAAATTAATTGGCCAACTAAAAAAATATACAGAAAAAATGAGCCGGGCATGGTGGCGCATGCCTGTAGTCCCAGCTACTCGGGAGGCTGGGGCAGGAGGATCGCTTGAGCCCAGGAGTCTGAGGTTGCTGTGAGCTAGGCTGATGCCACGGCACTCACTCTAGCCTGGGCAACAGAGTGAGACTCTGTCTCAAAAAAAAAAAAAAAATTAAAAACAACAGTAACGAAAATAAGGTATAGTACCTGCATCATACAGTTATTTTGAAGATTCAGAGTTCATATAAAGCACTGAAATAGCATCTAGGACGTAGCAAGCCCGCGCTATCTGTTATTATTTTATTGCTACACTACTGCTTGCCAGGCACTGGGAGGACCAAACAGGAGTAACTCGCAGTCTCTGCTTTTGAGGAGCTTCCAGCCCAGCGCACAGGAAGACCCAGCCCGGAGAGACTGTTATAGAACGTGCTGAGTGTGCTCACACAGAGGAGTTCTCTGGGCTTTAGGGACGGTTTCCTGGAAAAGACGCCTTGGAGCCTGGCGAAGCCAGCCGGGGGAGGGGCCGTGCCGGGCGCCCGGCACAGGGAACGGGCGCGCAACGCTCAGGGGCGAGGAGCAGCACGAGGAGGCGGAGGAGGAGCCGCGGGCAGCTGGTTTCACTTGGGCACCTGGGAGGCAGTGAGGGGTAGGGGAAGGGGCTGGCAAAGCAGGCAGACGCCGAGCCGGGGAGGCGTATCTGTCTCCAGAGCTCGGATGCCATCCTCCAAGAGGCCGGCGCGAGGCGCCACCGTCTTCCAGCGGCATCGACCACGCTTGCTCCTTGCTGCGTGGGTTCTGCGGGCACTCCTGCCCCTGGGATCCCAGAGCCCTCTGTCCCCGGCACGGAATGAATCCTCATCGTCCTGCGAGGACCCGAGGAAAGCGAGAGGCCCGGCGCTGGCCCCGCAACGCGAACTTGCTCTGGCCTGAACGGCACAGGAGGCAAGTCTGCTCCCAACCAAACCGCACATCTCGTTCCAGACCCACCTTCTGCTTCACGCCCCGAGTGGGCCGCTTTGTTCCGGGTGCCACTCCTCCTTGCACTGCTGCACGTAGCCCTGAACTCGCAGCAGCCTCTTTTCTACAAGCACGGACACGCAGCGGCAGGAGGCGGGCCCCGAGCACCAGGCTCTGTCGGGCAGCCCGTGACCGCGGGCAAGCCACCAAACCTCTCGGAGCTGCCATTTCCCCTGTTGTGAACCAGGTGACCTTAACACACGCCCAGCTTCCTCGTAGGGGTGGCTCAAGGGACAAAAAAAAAATCAGACACCATAGCGTACGTGGAAGAGTTTTGTAGGCTGTGCAGAGCTGTTCCGACGTGAAAGACTATTGCTATTGTTCCAGAAAGAACTACTGGGGAGGAGGAGCCTACACTGGAAACTGAGAGTGAGTCTCCCGCTTCCTCCTACCGCAGACGGGGCAGGGCACGGTCATCGGGTCCCCAATGCCACACTCGGGGAGTGGCTTTCCCTGCAGGTTTTTCCGAGATCCTTTCTGTGTGCAAAGCCCTCTCACGGATGACGAATCCGCTCTCCCGAGGCTTTCTGAGCGCTGACTATGTGGCAGGCACCCGTGATGCAATGGCGAACCAAACAGACAGGGTCTCCACCCTCCCTATGGGGTCCCCGCCTAGTGGCAGAGGCAGACATTTGTCCAATAAGCACCCCGTTACGTGACTGGCTGTCACAATGTGTCACGAAGGAAGCGTGCGGGACACTGTGAGAGTGGCTACCGGGGCCTGATCCAATTCCGCAGGTTCAGGGAAGCTTCCCGAAGGAAGGGCTGCTGGAGCTGAGAGCGAAGGGAACTAGCATCTCGGCGGGGGAGAGAGAAGCCGAGGTGCAGAGCGCAGAGCACGAGGAGGGGCGGGCGCTGCAGGGGCAGGCGGGGGGCAGGGGCTGCAGGGGCTGCCCCACTGGGCATAGCAAGGAGCGTGGGGATCACTGAAGAGTTTTCAGAGCAGGGACAATGTGACCAGGTCAGATCTGTGTCCTTACAAGGCCATGCTAGCAGCAATTCAGAGACCCGGCAGGTGCAGGAGCGGACGCAGCCAGACCAATGAGACGGTGACTCCGTGGGCCGGGAGAGGGGTGAGATGGGGGAGTGGGGTGGAGGGACCTAGGTGCTGTTTCGGGGGTAGACAGGGCCTGGTGGGGGGCTGGGTGCAAGGGGGTGGAGGGGAGGAGGGGAGAGACAACAGTGACGCCGGTTGTGTACAGCGGGCGGGACTGGTTTGAGGTGGTCCCATTCACAAACAGGCTGCCCCGGAGGCGTGTCGGGCCGAGGGTGGGGAGGTGGCGGGGATCTAGGAGGAGAATCACGACTCTGGCTTCAGATACGCCACACCTGAGCTTTCTTGTGACACTCGACGTAGTCAACGAGGTAGGTGAGTAGAAGGATGTGAGCTCAGGAGGAAAGCAGCAGACAGGAGACCTGGGTGTCAGCTGCCCTGGACGGCAGCGGAAGCCGCGCGTGGCTGAGACGGCTTAGGGACAGAGCGCTCAGGCAGCGGAGCCTTACACGCCGACACGCAAAGATCGGGAAGGGAAGGGGGGTGAGTCAGCAAAGAAGACCGAGGAGTGATCAGAGAAGCCAGGAATGCGAGGCTGGAGAAGCCAAGGAAAAGAAAGTGTGAAAAAGGAGTGGAAAATGCTTCTAGAACTAGAAAGCGTCCCCGGCTCTGGGGATCTGGAGAGCTGTTTCAGGAGAGGGGCGGGGAGGACGGCAGGCGGGAGAGGGGCTGAGGAAGGAGTGGGCGGTGCAGAGACGGAGACGGCTGATGTGGCCAGCTCTTTCAGGACACTGGGCTTGTAAGGAGAGGAGACAGGGCGGCGGCCGCAGGCAGGGCTGGGCTCCAGGGAGGTTTTGGTTGTTCTTGCTTTGCTTGTTGAAGACGGGAGACGCGGGAGCACGGTGGGAAGGCTTGGGGGTAGGACCTGGAACACAGGTGCTGCAATGGCAGCCCGGCGGCCTCTGCAGAAGCCAGAGGGGAGGAGGAGCGGGCTGTGCAGAGGCAGGGAGCTCGCGGGTTTGGTGGGGACAGGCTGGGGACTTCCGCCCGGTGACTTGTATTTCTCCACGAAGTGGGAGGCGAGGTCCTCGGCTGAGCATGAGGGCGGAGGCGGAGGTCTGGGGAGGAAGGTGTGAAATAGTCATCGTGGAGAGTCAGGAGAGACAGGACCAAGGAATATGGTAGGAACACTAGACGCTTCGGGGAAGAGCGAGTTGGGTTGGTGACGGTGAGCGTGTACAAGCACCAATCTGCTTCGTTTTGTGTGTTTTTCCCCAGCAGATTCAGCTTCCTGAATGTAGGTTGGAAAGAAGTAGAGAGAGCAATTAAGCCCGAACTGGGACTTGGCCAAACGGGGACAATAAAAAGACAGAGGGTCAAGAGAGTTCAAGATATTGGCAAGAGGACTCTTAAAATGATGGGGCAGGGGATCTGGACTGAGAGAAGGCAAAGCACAGGAGGGTGACCAGTGGCAAGAGAGTGGATGCCAGTGGACCAAAGGGGCCCGTAAAGTTAAAGCATGGTGGTGCAGAGGTTCTTAGACCAGCAAGCTGGGAGGCCAGGGGGTGGTGACCAGCAAGCAGGGTGCTCTACTCAGTGATTTCCAGGTGATGGTAAGATCCAGAGTGTGACCTTGGGGGTGAATGGCTGAGGAAGGGGGGCCAGGGCAGGGGCTGGTGGGGCTGGGGGCAGAACGAGTTGTCCGTGCAGTCACCGATCTCACCCAGGAGGACGGGCAGACTCGGAATGGGAGGACGTCTATGGGCAGATGCCAACGGCTGCCCAGAACGAAAAGGACGGCTGGCAATGGTAAGGCAGGGCAGGGCGATGCAGCCCGATTTTACAAGGTTCGGAGAATCAGAGAATTAGAGGAATTACATTCCTTCGCACTGGAAGTAGGTGCTCCAGGGGAAAAGACCAGGAAAGACAGTGGAGAGAGTGCTTCTGAGAAGAGGTAACGAACGGATCAAGCATGAGGCCAGAAGTGAGGATCTCTCTATCTAGTCCCAACGGCACAAACACACCGTGTGATCTCGGGCAAGCCCTTTCGCCTCCCTGGAGCTTAACTTTCTCATCCCTGAAAACAGGGTGGAGGAACTGGCTGAGGCAGAGCTTCCCAGCTGAGGTCAGGGACCCATGGACGGACGGGTTACTGGTGACCCCTAAGCCCTTGGCCGGCCAGAATCCCTAAGTCATCACCGTCGTGTCCATGTGCTACCGTGTGAATGCGCAAAGGAGGAAAGCAACCGGCTGGACACAGCAGCCATTGCCGACGTTCGGCCTGCACCATCCTGGCACGCGCCGTCTTGGAGGAGGCTGCAGGGCAGCCGACAGAGGAGCAGACAGACTCCTGCTGCAGGCAGAAGTCCATCTGCTGGCAGAGATGGAAGCCAAATTCCCTACCCCCCACCCCGACTCTCCTCCCTGCCCCCGCCCCCAGCACGAGCTGAAGTAGCCATGATTCTGCTCAGATGCCCAGGTGAGAACAGGTGCGCCTTGCTCCTCTTCCAGCTGGC